CTTTGTCTTGCCTTGTCGCCTGTTTTCTGGGGGTTTTTCTCTGCCAAACGAATCCTTTCCGTGCCGCAACAATGGACAAGTTTTTGTTGTGGATGCTGTTGCAGCGGCGTCCGTGGCCTTTCAGCGACACTCGCAGCAAAGTGAAACTAATGGCAGTTAGTTTTGTTAAGTCGATAAAACTGTCAGTGATATGGCAGATTGTGTGGCAGCTGGCGGGTATCCTTTTTGCCGCGAGCCAACTTCAGCTTTTTGTCACCTAGAAAACGGCGTACACAGTGTGTTCGTGTGTGTGTGTCTGTGTGTGAAATGGATTTGCGGGCGAGGCTACATTCCAGTTTGAGTTGGGTTAAAAAAGTTAAATGAAGTTGCCGCAGGCATTAAATTTCCGCCATTATCAGACAAGTCAGCCCAAAAGGCCCCAACTCGTGCCCGCACCGCACCGCGCTGCCCTGCCCTGCCCTTCCCGCCCACGACCTAAGTGCCAGGCAAATGCAAATGAAGCTGCCTGCAAAAGTGTTGCATTTGTCGCTGCATAAAGCATGCCACAAAGTGATGCATTTTGCCAGCCACACACACACACTCTTCTGGCTGCGGCATAAGCATTGGGCGTGGCTGCTGGGCATGCTTGGTCTAAAAGTGAGTGACATTTTATGTACATTTGCTCTGGCTCGAGCTCTGGCTCTGGCTGCTGCTCCTGCTATGCATTGTGTTTTATGCTCTTCGCCTATACGAAAATGCACATTCGCATATTTTGTTAGGCTAGGTGTGTGTGTGTAAATGGGGGCCTGCTATAATGTTGACTTATTTCGTAGACATGCTGCACATTTTTCTCTACAAATGACTTGCCATGTCTTCATCATCATCACCATCATCATCGGAGCTGAGCTTTCAGCTTATTACTTTGTGTGCACCACGCGGCGTATGGTTGATGTGAATTCATTGTGTACATTACAAAGCAGAAACTACTTCACATTCCACCAGGTAGCTGAATTAATTATCACATATCACAGCTGGCGCACGTATCCTAAATCAAAGCATTTAACGCCCCTAATCCGCTTAATGCAAAGGGTTCTTTGCTTTAAATCCAAATCCACAGCCACGCACACACAGATACACACACATGCCTTTGCTTGTTGGGGCTTCTGTGCATTTGCAGTTGGAATGGCACAAAAGGGGGTTCTGAGTGTGCAGCGTATTTAGCAAATTAAAATGAAAATCCTTGGCCCAGGCGACCACAGCACAAAAAAGTGACAAAAAAAAAAGAAAATAAACGCCTCGCGTCACACAGCGTGAAAGAGACAGAGAGAGAGAGAGAGAGAGTGGAGGGGGAATAGCTTTCCAGGACTATTTAAACCCCAACGTGAATAAGGGACACATTGCACGAGCTGGCCAGGACGACCTGTGATTGGCAGCAGCCATCAAGCAAGTTAATTGCCCACAATTTAGAGAAGTGAACGTAGTGAAGTGGGTCCAAGCCGCCGCTCTCCGCACCAGTCCGCACCACACTCAGCACCACACTCAGCACCACTCCGCGCCACTCTGCGCCACTTGCCGTGCACTTCCGTCGCGCAAGCAAAGCTCATCAATCGAATTGAAGTCGGTCGCCCATCCTGTTTTGTGGGCGCTCCTACACACGGCTCATGTTCGACCCCCCCAGCTAAATCTCGGCCATTTGTGACGCTATTAGTGCGACGGGTCAGTCGAGGCCTTTGGCTACGATACTCCCCGGACTTTTCTCTATTTGTATATGGCTGTGCTTGGGTCCATTATCGTATATGGTGCGTTATTAACTTTTGTTGCCTGTCAACATTGAAAATTATATGCTAGCCAACCGCAAGCATACGCCCCGTAAAACTGAGCCCAACAGCACACACACACACCACCCGCACACCCACTGTGTGTGTGTGTGTGGCATTTTTCATGCTTTGCCTTCGTCTCGCATTCATTACGTGAGTTGCGTGGCGACGAGCACAAGGATTCACATCCTTATTCCCAACCACTTGCCATTAGCGCAGCAGGCGAAGCACATTTAATTTTGTTGTTGATGTTGCCCCCCCCCCCCTCCCCTCCCTCCCCTACTGCTTTAGGATCTGGCCTCCACTACTGCTGCTGTTGGGACTCTCATCTTGTGGCTTTTTTTTTTGGCAAATAAATCAAGTATTTTTTACAAATTGTTGTCATCATGTTGACATTTGCGACATCTTTATCGGCATCGAATTCTGGCCCAGGCCCATGCAAAATAGACCCTAAAAATGGATGAGTGTGAGAATGTGTATGTGGGAGAGACTTGTTAATGTAATTGATGTGCGAGAGGGAGACATGTATATATTTAAAGCGGATCAACTTAAAGTGCCAGAGCAGCAGCTCAGTTAAGGCCCCACGTTGGGCGCCAAAAGAAATCGCAACTTCTAATTTCAAAGACTGACTATAATTATCGGTAAGTGGATACGAATCAAACAAGAGAAACCACGGCGACCTAACCCGGTGCCGGTCCGGCCATCAAGCGCAAATCAGGACGTAGAAACTTTTATGAGAAATTCAAGACTTCCGGCGCTGTTAGCGACAGGCAATGGGCGGGCGCAAATTAAAAGGAAAACAAAATGAAACTGAAGCGAAAAGGAAGCGGGCGGAGCTGTAAATGAAAAATTACATTTTATTTTTATTTATGTATTTGCATTTGCCATAAAACTCAGCGCAACATCATCATGAACGTCGACGTTGCCCAAATGACTTCCGCTTCCGCTTAAGATGCAGCCACGCACACAAGCAAACACACACACACACACACACACACACAAATATATGCAGAGCATCAGCATGCAGCGCGCGTCATTTGTTTGCCAGTTTGTTGTTGCTGTTTTTTTTTTCTTTATTTTTTTGTCCATTGCCATCTGGGTCTACACATTTGCTGTCCATTTTGACAGCGAAAAATTGCATCGAGCATAATGTAAATCGTGTCATTTGTCAAGGGCAGCTGTTTCCCAGCTGCCAACAGAACAATAATAACAACAACAGCCTAATGACAATCGGCATGTCTTGACAACTCATATAAAAGTGTGTGTATACAGTCAGAGAAAAGACCTAGGACCTGGATGGAATTTATAACTTTAGCTTTAGCTGAAAAAATAGGTAGAGGAATATTCTTGAAGCCCTGATCAAAATGAAAAGGAAGCAGTAAGGCTTAGACAAACGCAAGATACCTATTTTAATAATTTCCGTAACGGAAATACGCATAAAATATTCTCAACGGAAGCACAAACTATGCTAGATTAAGTTAAGTATTTGAAGCTTGTCTTTAAATACTGCAGAGGTAAAAATAAGAATTTACTCCATTAGCATTTGCACCTAACTTGAGTACTAAAATGTCCATCTTTTTCTCTGAGTGCATTAATATATATACGTATACATAGAAATGCTAACGCACACTGCTCATAAGCCGTGTAGTCGAGTAGATTTAATGAGTCTTTTGCGAAAGTAATTTGAAAATTTTCGGGCACTGCGTCTGTGACTTAGTCGAGAGGCGGCGTGAATGATTCAATAAACTAACTTTCATGAAGATTAATTAAATATTTCTGTCTAATTTGACGCAATTTATGCAATGCGTCGGACGGCTAGTTGGGGGAGGGGGCGGCTGGCAAAGAAAAATGAACAAAGTTTTAGCGTTCGCTATCTTAAGCTGTGTGTGTGCATGTGTGTGCTTGTGTGTGTAAGCTGTGCTGCTAAAACTTTTATTAATTACAAAAGATACACATAAATATTAGTAGCAGCAGCAGCAGAAGCAGCAGCAGAAGTGGCTCCTGCTCTCGTTTATTTGCGAGAAAGCCACTCGACGAGTTACTAACTTAGTTTCTTATGTTTCCTGCTTGGTTTTTGCAGTGTCCGGGTAAAGTTGACGAGCTCTGGGGACCACAAACAACAACAACAACAACAACAACAAAAAACAATTGCAAACGAGGATTAACATGGCCCAGACCAGCGAAGCGTAGTCAGCCACAAGCACGGCTACGATATGCGGCTATACGGTATGAGCTCCACGGTATACGGTATACGGCTTACGGTCTAAGGTAAGTTGGGGATTGGGACTTGGTGTACTGACGGGGAAATAATGCAAGTTAATGCGCTTGTGTACACGGACATAATGTATAATTAATATGGCTCGACATGCACATTTGCCACGGGCCAACCTGTTGAGCTAGTTCTCACCTGCCCTGCGCTGCTGCCCCAATCGCCCACCCTCCATTCGCCCCATCCTCCACAGCCCGCTCATTGATAAGTGGCATAACGAGCACTCTTGCAACGGCTTAAAAGTGCTTACAAATTGCTACACGGCAATGTCTGTGTTACGGTCGAGCTGTGGGTGTGTGTGGGTGTACGTATGTGTGTGTAGGGAATATTAGTGGGTTGTGCTGCTCTGCTGGTGTTGCTGCTTTCATCAACACTTCAGCAGCAGCAGTTGAAAAAGATCTGAAAACTGAAACTGCAATTGAAGCGCTTTTCAGCACAGACAGAAACCTGGACTCAAAAAGAAAAACAAGCAGAAAAGCAAGGCTTTTTAATGAGTCAAGTGGCCAACACGTCGCATTCACTCGCCGTGTGTGCATGTACGAGGGCAGGTTCAAATATATGTAATAGGCAGCAGAAAGCTTCAACAAAACGTGGCTTAGCTGTGTTTTGGGCGTTGCCAGTTCAAATTCAGCAGCATTTATCGATTTTATATCTGATTTTTATAGTTTTCGAATTAAATTAATTAGAAAATTTTTGCACTTACCTTCTTATATTTAATTTTCAACAGCTTCTTTTTGTCAAAAAACTTTAAACATTTTTATCACAAAACAGGACACACTTGAACATATTTATGGCTCACAGAAAACAAAATTAGAAAAAAATATTTATTTATGAATTTAAACACTTATTCCTTCATACTTTTCTTTCTTAAAAAAAAAATGTAACCTTTTATCACAAAAAAATATTGAAAAAATATTAAATTATTAATTTAATACAGCTTCTTAAAAAAAAACTAGTTTACTTTTTATCCAAAAAGAGGAAAAACAGTTAAACACAGGAAAAAAAATTGGAGAAAAATATTTAAGCACACCTTGACACACTTCCTTTTTGCATTAACTGAAAAACAGATAAAAAGAATAAAGAAAATTAATTAATTGAAGAGAATATAAATATCTATAATCAAATATAATATACCAGCGTGTACACCTTTTTTGAATACCTCTTCTAATTCTGTCAAGTTTAAAAAGGACTCACAACTTTACTAATCCCTTAATTAAGCCATGAAAACTAAATAAAGATCGGACTATAAGCACCGAAGTTATTCGAGAATACATTTCCAGTTATGACCGAATGGGCAGGTCTTTTACGAAAGGAATGCCTATTTGAATGGCATGAAACATTTTGCCCTAAAAGGGGATTATGTTGAATGAATGAATACTTTTCAGACTGCCCTCGCACGTGTGTGTGTGCGTGTGTCTGCGTGTGTAATGACGCGCGTTTGGTGCGCTTTTATGCCAGCGCATTCGTACGAAATAAACCGTTTGCTTTTGAAGTTCGTTTCTGGGCGCCATGCCAACCTTTTTTGCAGTTGCCAGTTTGCATTTGCTTTTATAATTGCATGCCGCTCTTAATGAGCCGAGCTCCATGCAATTTGTACAGCAGCAGCACCAGCAGCAGCGGTGGCAGCGGCAACGGCAGCAACCACTAGCATACAGAGAACGACTCACTGCGGTGCAAATCAGCCTTTCAGAACAACTTTGCCGCCACTTGAAGTTGAAGTTGAGTTCGGTTTGAGGTTGGTTAGTTGCTCGGTTGGATGTCCGTTTGCTGGAAACAGCTGCCAAAAAGAGTTGCTGAAAGTTAAGCTATGGCCAAATGGATTTGCTCGTAAGCGAAATAAAACCACGCAACGAAATGAAATGAGTAAATTGCGGTTTCAAGTTCTCGCAACTGTTCTGCCGCCGCCCAAACCCTGCCGCACAGCCATGCCACATCCACCAACGCGTTGCCACACACAGCTGCACACACACACACACACATTCAGCCCCGCTGTTGCCCAGGCAATGCGTGTTACTCTTTACCAATTTTTTGCAATTTCCTCCCCCCAGCCGAAAACCACTTTGGTTGTTAAAATTTTTAACACATACTTTTTGATAGGGAATGGTGGGGAGCTGTTGCTGTTGCTGCTGCTGTTGTCGTTGTCGTTTCTGCTTGGATACGTGGCTTAAACATTTGATTGACTTTTGCGCATGGACACAATAACCAGCGCCAAAATCATGTTCGCTTTTAATGCCAGCACCAGCAACAAAAATGGCTGCCACAATAGGCAACATTTTCAATTGCTTTAAAGCGCTTGTATAAAATATTGCGCATACGACCCGCTGTACAACGCACACACTCAGAGAGAGGAACCCCTACACACAACGTATAAATGTATAATTGAAAACAAATTTTACTGCATGTAATTGAGAGTGTTTGTGTGTGCGTGTGTGGGCCTGTCTTGATATCGATAACAAACGCCACAAATTGAATTTAAATCATATTACATACACATACGACTACAGCCAAGGCGCATAGAAAATCATGGAGTTTTGGCCTGCTTGTTGTCGTTGCTGGCTGCTTTGGGTCGTTGGGCGCCATGTTCGCTTGTTTTATTTATGGAGGCAGCAACAACAACAACATTAACAACAACAACAACTACGATAACAACAAAAACAGCCCCAGACAGCACAGCAACAACCGAGCAACGCCTTCGCATTGCCCTATACAGCAAAAGAATTTCATTATTCTTACAAGCAGCTAGCGACGAATAGAAGAAAATATCTTCAATATGTTAATTATAGAATATAAATTAAGTGAACTATAGAAGGAGAAATAAGTTTTCGAAACTTTAAAGGCACAAGTACTCCAAGCTAAAGCTTATATCTATCGATAAGCACAATTATCGCTAAGCACCATTATCGATAGTTTTTTAGTTTAAATGAAAGCAATGGATATTGCTTAGAAATATTTTGAAAGTATTCAAAGCTTGAGTTTATTCTCAATTTGTTAAATTGAATATTTATTTATTCGTGAAAGCATTTTAAGCTAAACACCATTATCGATAGTTTTGTAGTTTTCAATAAATTAAAAGAATTTTGTTGCACTTAGTTTTAAAGCCTTTCGGCTTAAGGTGTAGCTCAATTAAATCTTCAAATTCACAAATCACAATTTTCTAAATTAATAATTTTTAATGAATATAAATCGATTAGCTCAGCTATCGCTAGCTCTATCGTTAATTTTGCAGCAACTCTCAGAATTTTTTGAATCAAAAGAGCTTCATGAGAACCCTTTCTTAAACAATTTTGGAATCCTTGACCGCTTGAATAAACTTCAGATTTTCTAAACATAATTATATTTAATCATGATTTTATCTAACGAATACCCAAATTACCACTATATATTAATGAAGATAGTTGTTTAGCAAATCTTCTTCATTTGATTCGATTTAATTAAAGAAACTTTTCTTTGGTATCAGTCTGACAACATTTCCGAACAAATTTGGAAATAGTTGAGTGCTTGAATTCCATTTGGTTAGAAGAGCATTTGGCACGTCTTTATAGCCGTTGAGTGTCGTAGTTTGCCGTGCCTTGTTTTGAGATTTCCGTTTTATGCATTCAGTGCACACGTTTGCCAGAGACAAGCGAGCCAATCTGCTGGCTGCCTCAACCAGCTCCTGTGCTTGCCCCTGCCACAGCCACGGGCGGCCAGCTCTTAATTGTCTACTGTGCTGTGCTGTGGCATGCTATAAATTTATGCATTGCATTTGGATTTTGGGGCTATTTGGGGGGCTATGCATTGCATTTGCCACCGGTTCGAGGCTAGAGGTCACAAGAGGCCTATCGGTAGCTGCTGCGACTACTGTTTGGGTATTAAATCCAGAAATAAATGTTTGATAAGCAGTCAAAAATGTGCGTTGGACCAGTTTTTCACTTTTTTCACAACATTTGCATCTTAAGCCAATTAAATGGCATTACGCAACAGAAAACATTGCTAATTAATTGAAGCAAAAATGTGCGCAGAGGTTGAAAGTTCTGCTGAAAATACGAAATACACTTGAAATGTTGTTGAAAATGGCTTCGGGCTTGAGAAATTCATGTGAAATATGTTCAATGTAAATATATATATTTACGATAACAGAGATCAATTTATTTTTTCGTAGAAAAATATCATAAATCTCGTTTTATTAAAAACCAGCTGCAGGGCAGGCAACAAAATCTTGATAACAGGCAGGCGGCAAATAACTTACACGGTTTTGGCATTAATCATACCCTGTACCAATTGAATATGGGTACAAAAAGGGTATTATGGCTTTGTGCAAATGTATGTAACAGGCAGAAGGAGGCATTATAAGGGATATAGCCATATTGCTAAGTCTGTGCATTCTTGTTCTCAGAGACTATTAGTGCTAGAAACTTTAATTTTCAATGTAAATACAGTTTATTTAAACGAAGTCGTTAAATATCGGTTTTCAGACAAAAGACATAAGAGTTGGAACGTAGATTCGAGTATAGCATTCACAGAATGCTGTATTGTTTACATTTTGATAACTTTCCCGTTCTCCCAGTTTTGGTCCAGCCTAGAAGCTCTGCGCTGCCAAACAGGTTATTTCCTATTCGATTACTCCCGTTGAGAGTCCTTTTGTTTGCTTTAATTTGAATACTTTAAAGGCTGCACTCCATATTGATTTACATTTAAATAAACCCATTCATAAACATTAAAGTTCAGTCGGAATTCACATTTTTGCTAAATGGAAGTTTTATTTTATGCTAAACTACCTTTAGTTGCATAGCTGGGCCCAACACACATTTTGTTAAATATTCAAAATGTATATTTACTTATATTTGTGGCCAACATGCAAATTCACATTTATGGCCACTCAATAAAATACCAAATTCAAGTTATACTGGGAAAATATATGAAATTGACAGGCCCCAAAATCCATTTGAAGTGTAAATAAGCATAGAAAAACATAGGGCTAAAGCCAATTCAGACGAAGCTATCGTCTCTATAGGGCCGCACACACACATAGTGCCTGGGCAAAGACTTTTCCGGCAGCTGTTGTAGTATGTCCTGGATGTCCTCGCAGCTGGCTACGTGTTGGACGCAACTGAAACGTGAACGTGTCGCACGTGCGTGCCGGGCCAGAGGAAACAGACTTCAGGTCTTAGTCGGACTTGCATTTGATATTGACGTTAAAAATGTTCTTGCAGCTAGAAGCAGCAGCAAATACAAGAGCTGAAAAATGGTACGACAAATAAGAAGATTGTAACGGCAATCGTAAGCAATGAAGCGAGTTATTTCTCACAGAGACTGAGTGAGGGTTGGGTGTGGGAAGACACGCCCACTACATCATGTCTGGGCGGAAATGGGCATTGTTGCCGCCTCTGCTTCTGCTGCTGCTGTACGCGTAGCACGATTTTGCAAATAAATACAAATAACTTTGATTTTCCAACAGTTTCCCAACGGGACAAGGCAAAGGCATCCAACAAACTGCACATAACAGCACACACACACACACATACAGACACTAGCATGTGACGTTCAACAGAAGAAGCATTCAAATTAAACTTTATTTTCCTGCCTGACATTTTGCATTGCATACCTTAGGGCGTCACTGCCTGAAATTGCAGATTGCAGGCTTGATCACATTGAGGCTTGCAAATGAACACGAGTATTCGGGTTGCGGGTGGTGCCTTTTGTGCGGGGCGGGTAGCTACATGGCGTAGGCAACCAGACAAACACACGAACGTGCTGTGCATGCAATAAAGCAGCTTTTTTGTGGGATTTCTCTCGGCTCTGATAGCAAACTAACTTCACAATATGCTACAACAATTGCGCACAGGCAAAACAGCATTGGACTGCGTCAATACCAGCGCCAAAGCCTCCCCAAGCAGCTCAACAGTTTACACTTGCACTCCACTCCCGCCTAAAGGATTTAAAACTAACAACAACAATTATAGTAGGAACAATAAAAAAATATAAAATTGCAGTCTTTACCACAAAGACAACTGAATTCGTTTTAAGCATGCGCATAACAATTATGTAAAATGTTGTTTGTTAATAAACGAGTGTCT